GGGCTTTCTGCAAACAAACAAAAACTTCAAGGAGCATCTTCTAATATTCTTAAAAAATTGATTTTTAACCTCAAGGTAGTTTCAAGAATTAATAATAGTTTAAAGTAACGCTTCTCAACAGCCGAAAATGTGAACCACAAATCACACTTCTGTTTTGAAAGCACAACATGAACGAAAGTGAGCAGTATATAAAACCTGAGTTACCTGACGAATGAAGCCTTCTAAAGTTCCTATTTTGCCCATAGACATTGCCATTTGGCCCATGTAGTTTGCAACATTTCCAGATGAGCCCGAGGGAGCAAGAGAGCCAGCTAACGTCTCGGCTAAAGACTGCTGCAAAGCATCCATTCCCTGTGATAAAGCATCTTCAGCTTGTTGAGATGACTGCTGCAAATTGTTGATGGCAAGTACTTGTTGCTCAGTCAGCGGCTCCAACTGATTTATGAGAAGCTGCGAAGAAATAAATTTCGAAACATAGAGTCAAGGGGCATGTTTGGATACAAATATATCTGTTCAAAATGTATTTTTTTGATTAACATGAGTTAATTTTGAAAAAGGTTGTATAGTTAGTTGTTAGTGGAATTTAGAGGTTATATTAAAATAATATTTAAAATAATATAATTAAAGTTGATTTGATGTAAAAGTAGGGGAGACATGATATGAAGTGATAGTTAAAATTATGTGAGTGAATGAATAGTGAATTACAGTTGATGTGATTTGTAAAAATGATTGATTGATATTATTTAATTATATTGATAATATTGAGGATAGTGAAGTTGAGGTAAAGTTGAATTAGATTTTGAGTATGAATTAAGTTAATTTATAAACAAACACGCCCTAAATCTATATTTGCTAGCTTTTGCTTACACGAGGTCTGATTACATGTTAAACTTAAGAGTTATTTGAAATGCTTTTGCTTACCTCGAGGAGATTCTTCACAATTTACAGGTATTTCTACGGTCTTCTGTAAACAGAAGCCCAAGTCTCGGAGATAGTTTTTATAATTCAACCAGATTTTGTAAACAAAATTTTTTTTTATAAATTTATCAGACATTCTTAAACTCCAAAAATTTGTATTCTAATCCAAAAATGCGCTTTTCCGTGTTCATTTTAAATGTTGCTTCGTTCGAGCTGTTAGCATTCAATTCCAATCCAAACCCCACCAACTTCCGATAAATAACTCCAATTTCACAACCCTCAACCAATGCCANCGAGGCACAATAGAGAAGAACAACAAACACACCTTGAGGAGCTCGGACGAACGAAATCCACCAAGCCACAAAAAGCACCTCTCGGCTGGAGTTTTCCACATTCCAGACAGGATGTGAAAAACATCCGACTTAGCAGCATCGGCTTTTATTCTGAAAATGTCGTCATAATGCGCCACAACACCGTCCAAGATTATTCGGAGCTCGGTATCACCCGCATGCGAGTTCACGGCCCCTCTTAGCTCGTTCACCCGTCGATTGTGTTCCTCGAGCCACCTAGCATATTCCGCGTCGAAGGTCAAGGCACCTACAAATTTACGGTATATTTTGGAGATCTTTCAAATAAAAGTCTAAGATTATCTAAGATTGCTGAAAAGAAACAAAAGAACTCTCTCGTGATGTAAGTAGATATTGGGTTTCCAAGCTAACCAAAATTACGTGCAACAAGTCTAAGGCTATGTTTGGTAAACTTAAGTGATAAGCCAACTTTATACCTTTTAAGTGAATTTCGAGCTTATAGCTGATAGCTTATGACTTACGGCTGAAAAGCTAGCTTATATGATAAGAGTGTTTGGTAAAATTAGCTGAAATAAAAATTTCGATGGGGCTTATTTGAAAAGCTACCCCAGGAAGCTTATGAGATAAGCTCGAACTTTTTGAAAAAACTCATCCTACCAAACCAAGCTTAAGCTTGAATACAAGAAGCTTAGATGCTAGCTTAGATGCTCACCAAACATAACCTAATACTTGTGGCAACTTTTAACATAATTTTTTATCCTTTCATTTTATTAATTACTCTTTGTTTACGTATATTTCCCAATGCCAGCATAATACGGTATTTCGGTCCATAATAGAAGCTCAAACAACAAAGAGGTACAATTCTTGAAGCACATGTTTCGAATTTCAACCCACACAAATTCTTGGTACCCTATATTTTCTGGTGAGTAACTTCTTATATGAACAAAATCAGATGGCCAAAAAGTTATATTCGTACCATTTCCAGCAATCGCCTGAGACTGATCTCCTGAACTTGAAATAAACATTCCCTTCAGCAAAGGAAAAAACATTCAACAAAATCACATATTATGGGGGCTTATACAAATAAATAAACAAAATCTGCCATGAGTAAGGAGATGAACCTGCTGCCTAGCTCGTTGGAGCTCTTGTTCAAGTTGTGTCAATTTCATTCTACTGCTCTCCAGCTGTTGAACATAGGCCTAATAACAAATACATGAAAAAAGGAACAAACCAGAGTGAGACACAAAATTAACAATTATATTGAGAATTACACAACCAAAATGCAGGCTAAATATTGTAACTTCCAACAGTTCAACTGCTGAAAACTGAGACATTATAACTTAAATAACGATTTTGTAAGAACTGCCAATTCAAGCTCGATCCGTAAATGACCAATTCCTAATAGTTGTCAAATTTCAAGCAGTTACGCTTCAGAAAGTGTTCATCTCTGTGCAGACTCATGAACAGTACTCACGGCCACATGTAATATTCAGAGTTCTTTCCTCAACAAAATGAACCTTTCTGACAAAATAACAACATTTGGAACAGGTGGCGGAAGTTCTATTAACATCTTATCAAGGCCATGTTTAATATTTCCCCAAAATCTAAAAAACATTTACTATGCACAAAACATGAAACATACTTTTTTCCTCAAGCGGCTTTTTCTTGCGGCTTCACGATTTTGAGCGAGCCTACGGAGAGTCTGCAAGTAACAGTTGATATTATACATCTACAGCATATAAAATATATGAGATCATGCATATGGAACTAATAGTTCAAAAACCTTTTGGTCTCTCGAACTACCATCAGACCCAACTGCATTCTNCATCAGCCATCATTATGCTAGATGCATAAACAAGGCATCTGCAAGTAACCACACTATTTATGTACGTCGAAAAGAACAAAAGATTCTAAATATATGTGAGTTCACAAAAAAAGCTTAAAGAGAGAAAAAAACAAATGCATTTAAAATCATTTAAAACATTACCCTCCCATCCTTATCTTCTGTGTCAGCATCTGTTGATGTATCTGTTCTAGGACTGGTGATTTCCATATCGAACACTCTAAAATCTCCAAGATTATATCTTTAAAACCAAACTACACGTGTATACAATCCTTTCATAATCGGGCCAATCGAAACCAAATTCCACTGGAAACAATTTCAGACTTCAGGAATTGTTCTGGAGAAAAAAAAATGCCAACAAAAAAAGGTAAGTAAAGGAATAAAAAAACAGATGGACTATAGAGGAGTGCAGTCTTCTCTGGACAGCTTTACATTAAAATCACAAAGCATTCTTCGAGCACTTGAACAGAAATATATCTATTTTTGCCAGATTTTATCTTTCATTGAGGCAATACAATTGCATCCAAACATCCTGGGCTGCTCGGTCAAACAATTTAGAGCTTATTTTGAGTTATAGAAACATTGAAAGGTCTCCCAATAACCCAAGTTTCCAACTAAAATCCTAAGTTTGTTGCTTGCATCTATTTTTCTAAATATAAGACAAAAATCGGATAAATTACTAGCAGATACACAAAAACATACACGTACTTATATATATAGCAGATACACAAAAACATACACATACTTATATATATATATATATATATATATATATATATATATATATATATATA